CAGGTAAACAAGTAGCAGTCATGGCCTTAAAAACTGTTCAAATGTGTATTCCATATAGTGTCGTAAAAGATATCCTTTTATTGTTATAATTTTCATCTACAATTCTGATATAATCTATATTTTGGATTATATACCTTCAGTTGTGGTGGGGATAGCGAAGATGTTGGAAAGTGGCGAGGTACCAGAAGTATTACGTCGGATGTTTTTCGCATGGCAACAAACCAAGTTCTTCAGAGTGGTGTCAAAAGACGTCAGTGATTTGTTTGTTGGCCATCCAGAAGAGCTCCAGGCCATGAAGCATGTCGCTTCCAAGGTCCAGGTCGCCCTTCAGCAAGACCTTGAGAGAATTCGACTTCGATTTATTGACATCCCTTCTGTTCGGAAGATCACCCAGTGGATCCTCATAAATGTAAATCGTGTAAGTTGCTATTTTCTCCAGTTCTCATGATCATTATGTTGTATGATATTTCTTTATATTATAATAGTTAAAATGCACAATATACACGGTACTTCTTAACTGTTATATATTTATTAAGTAACAAATTTATATTTTTTCCCCAGGGACAATCACTGGTAAATAAATTGGATGACTACATATCTGACTTTATTGCGAACACGATTTTTGTCTCTGTTCATACCGGAAAATATTTCGTAAGAGGACAAATCCCTCTGAGTAAGCCAAGTCGGTCTATTACTCACGTCCTTCAGAGGCTGGCACCAGACCCGATCCCCATACTCAGAAGTCTTCTTTGGCTTGATAACAGCAACATCTATTTCTCTACAAACGACCTAATATGGGCGTACTACACACTACTGCCCCTGCGACTCACAGATCATCTGCCTCCCTATAACCGTACAGCCATGGTCATTAGCGGGACAGAGATCCTTACCTTTGACGGGACTCACCTCCGCGTGCCCCGCTCTCCCTGTAAGGTTATCTTGGCTACCTACACCTCCAACAGGGTTATCATGTCTCACCCAGACCCTTCTCACGCCATACAGGTCACCTTCATCAATCCCCATACCAATGTTACAATCAAACCTGACTCCACTGTAGAGATCAATGGACATATAATGACAAAACCTCAAGAAACTGACGGCGAAGTTACCGTGCAGAAGACGCCCAACAAGGTCAACGTTATCTCACCCTTCATGACGATTCAGTTGACGGGGGACGACAAAGAGGTGTCCGTGGAAGTGTCTGGCTGGACCTTTGACCTCATAGCTGGCCTCTTGGGAACTTACGATGGTGAAATTCAGACCGATTGGTTAATGCCGTCTGGAACTATGGCGGAGAGTTATGAAGAGTTAGTGACGGCATGGCAGGAAGATGGACAGTGCCCGACGCCCCCTCTGGTGCCTGTCGCGCATAACCTGTTCAGAGTTGCTGAGTGTAACATGATCCTGGACACCCAAAAAATTTGCTTCCCGTTGGTCCATCGGGAACCGTTTATCAAGTTGTGTTCAGCCACCAGACAGGTGTGTGAAGCAGCATACGCCTACGGCTCCCTCTGCTCCAACATTGGTATCGACGTCGTGCTGCCCAGTGGCTGCTGAGTCCCAAAGGCCCTACTACATCACTGGCCTGTCATAACATAAATGTATTGTTGTACCATACAGAATAACTCTGATTTATAAATTTATATGAGTGAACACTTTCAAAATTTCAAGAATACAGTACTGTGGGTGATTGTCATCCATGTTTTGTAAATATAAAATTAAATGTATTTAGTGTTTAATCTTGAGTTATTTCCAAATTTCATTTTACCAGTGAATAACTGCAGAATTATTAGTAACGTGTGTGTGTGTGTGTGAACATACTATTAGTAATATATCCTTCACAAGTGTTAATATTCAATAAAAACACAAGTTTACAAAATTAATAGTATCAACCAATATTTAGTGTACCATAAAGTGATAAGCTCATCTCTAAAACCCACTGAATTAATTTACAAAAAAAAATTAATATATTAAAAAACTCGTATGTCATTCCTGACTATGAACAACTTCAACAAAACACAACCCTTACTTAGATTTATATATTTCTCCTTTATTTTGCTAAAATGATAAGTAGTTCATTATTGAAGGTAAACAAAGCCAGTGTCGGTGAATACATGTGTCACTGTGTTATCGGCGGGACCCGGCTTGAGACATTGCTGCAGCGTCTAGACAAACTATCACCAATTATTGTGCCAGCTCAGCAGAACACCCCACCTTCAGCACACCCACTTCACCTTACCACCTGATGACTTCATGACCCCACGGTTACCTGACACTTACAATTACCACCGCATGACAACTACAGCACGTAGAATACTGTACATTACAACTACCACCGAATGACTACTGCAACGTGTAACTACTACCGCATGGCTACTGCAACAAACAGTTACCCTTACAAGACTACTACGGATTTTGATAGAAAACAATAACATTAAAGAAATAATTAAGTAGTATCGCCCAAAAGACATAAAATATTGACTATGGCCAAAAATATATACAAAGACAAATACAAATATAAATTAAAAAACAAAAAAAATCCATGACTGGGCAGGTTGTTGTGGTTAGACACTGGACCTAAACAGCCCAGCAGTGCCACACTATACCTAAGACACCATCCACTACTTAGACAATGGGAGAAAATCCACTTATGGTCAGGTTGACGATCGAGAGTATAATGATGTCAGAGTTAAAATAAGCCATTAACTGAGGTGTTGAGGTAGTTTATGCCCCTTTATGAATGACCGTCTACTAATAACAGACAGATATTGAGGTGCTGTAGGTTTTATCGACGGATGTAGGACAGAAAAAAATATCTAACAAACCCTAACTCAGCTACAGTCATACCTGGTGTTGCTCCTTTTTCTGTGACTTCTATTCACTTTTTCAATTATAATGTATAAACTGTCATGAAATAATTTAACTTAATTCCTTCCCCTGTATGCCTCTACATTAACACTGTGGAAATTTTATATTATGATTCAAAAAGAGATAAAGAAAACAGCTTGAAAGCTATTTACTCAAAACGTAAAGTAAAAGAAATAGATACAAAAAATATATATAGAAACTTGAGTATTTCCGAACTAGATTTACCTTCTCTTTTACTAATATCATTCATCTTAACACAATAAGGATTTATAGATTTATTTGCTTGGTGATGAAGTGAGAGAGATTTACCTATGTGTGTGAACCACTGATGATGCTAAAATGTCACTGAAATCCCACTGTAGGAGAAGATAAAACACAGTGGGATTTAAGTGATAATACTGTAGATAATTTCCTCAGATATCAATATGTATTAATCCTTGTCTCCTTCTCCTATTTGCTCTTTATTCCTCCCCAACCCGTATTTATTCATTCTCCATATCTTTTGTTTTTCCCTGTACGACACACGGGCCAACCACGCACCTAACCCACAACACCTCTGCCTCACACATTCTCTCTCGTGTTATCACTATACACTGTAACATTAATGATGACTATTTATCCAAGTACAAACAGCATACATAAAAGTAAGGCTGAGGAACATAGCATAAAAAATAAATAAGAAAAATGGAACAGCTAAAATTCCTTGGCTGTAACCATAAGCCAAATGATTTGATGTAATAAACTGTTTCAAAATCGGCCAACGTGAAGAATAGCTCCTCAGTATACTTCACCTAAAGATTAACCACCCTAACTCCAACCTAACCTAACTTAACCTATCAATCAATGTTAGTCACTGACTCGGGAGGAATGGAGTATAAACTGTCCTTTTATTGGTTCCCTTGAACACCAATAACCACAAAAGAACAGCACAAGATAGAGAACATAACGAAATGTTCAAGTGTTCATCCTGTGAGCATTTCCCTACATTATCATTCCCCTATACCACTCTCTTGTACCCTACACCTCACTTCAGCCACTCCACCTTCTTCCACCGTCTTGGAGGGGTGGGGGGGGTGGGGTGGTAGGGTAGGGGTGGAGTGGGGGGTGGTAGGGTAGAGGTGGCGTGTGGAGGTGGAAGGAAGGTTGTGTGTATCTCCCTAGTCATTTATTTTTATTCTTAAGTTCTCGGAGAATATTCAGGACACTTTATGTTTACATGTAGTTCAGACTAGTAATTTCAACCTCTTTTCAACAGTCTTTTATTTCTGCTGGTTCGTGTTTTTGAAGGTAGCAAGTATAGTATAGTATAGTATAGTATAGTATAGTATAGTATAGTATAGTATAGTATAGTATAGTATAGTATAGTATAGTATAGTATAGTATAGTATAGTATAGTATAGTATAGTATAGCATGGAGAGAACAGGAGGAAGTAAGTTTGACTAAAAAAAAAAAATTAAAGGTCAAACTCAAAACTACCAAAGCCGTCCGAGTGTATTAAACAAAGATACGGAAAAGGAGGACGGGTTAACAGCGAGAACCATGTTATTTATATTTATTTTAGATAATCAAAACTGGAAAATATCACGAAGAATCGTCATATAGAAGAGTGTCTTTCTTAGTGTGTGTGTGTGTGTGTGTGTGTGTGTGTGTGTAAAATTTTTGGTAGCTAATGATTACTAATTAGTGTATTAGTACTAACAAAACTAACACACTACATAATCACCAGTTGATATACAAAACAGCACTGAAAGAAGCCCCAAAGTAACTATGTTACTTGAGCAAGACCTGAACATAAGAATATTTTGGTCAATTCAGTGTTTGCCCCTGAACTCTGGCAAGGATGACGTTATGAAACAGGTGTTTGGGAAACACTCGAGACTGACCAAAGTCCGATTTCATCTTACCCCTCAGACAGGAGTCAGCGAAACATTTTGAGCTCTTATCATGGAATTGAGACAAACACTCAAAATTTCCATGTCGTAACAAATAATTATCACACCAATAACTGCGTGAGACAGCATTGGTTATCAAGAGCCCCTAGTAACCAGTTCTTAAGTGTTTCTTGTGGTGGGTATATAAGATGGGGCCAATAGGAGGTGGAGCACAGTTGTGGTGTCCCAGTTGTGTGGCCATGTCCACCTCCGCAGCTCTCCTCGTTCTCGCCCTTGTGGTGGGTGCTGGTGCAGGTAAGTTACATTGATCACACCTCACTAAAGTTTTACTTAAAGTCAGTCATGTTTGTGTTCATTATTTCATTACTTTCAGAAACGAGAGAACAACACTTACAGAAACACAACTACTGATACAGGTTCAGAGATTTTGAAGTATCATTATATGAACACCACTTATTATCAGTGTACATAATTATATCTTATTATTTCGTACGCAAAACAGTAAAAGAACTATTAATTTTCTCGCATCTCATACATATATCACTAACTTTTTCAGTCAACTTTCTGTAAAATATAATTGTACACACACACACACACACACACACACACACACACACACACACACACACACACACACACACACACACACACACACACACACACCAACATTAAAGCCTCCAGGACACTCAGGTGTTTCGGTGTGCTTCAGTTTAAAACATAAATTTCACCACCATGGGACATAAACGTTTCACCAATCTTGCTGGTAGAAGTATGGAACCTGATATATTGCGTGGTTTGGACTTATCAGATAATATGCAAGTGTCTTCAAGTCAGAACAACCGAGAGGTTTTACTTTGATTATATAGTGTTATTTTGAGTGTCTAAGTTGTCTTACCCATTATATTTTCTATTATATTCTATTCATGTATGCATACACATTCAACATTCAGATGAATAAATTATTAATACAAGCTGAATCGAATATAATAGATGACAATGTATATAAGTTGTTTGTTTGATTTTTAAAACACTTCTAGCTCACAAAAAAATAAAATCTATGAAATTTGAGTAAAGCAGATTGTATGGGTAGTAACACGCAACAGTATAAAGTACCACAAGGCCCTTAAAATTAATCCTTGGCCTGGACCCCTTTTTTACTGATGACTGTCGTCGGTTTTAGGTTAAACGCACTGAAGATAAGATTATCATTGGTTTCAGTAGCAGTATAAGAATACCAAGAAACAAAACAGTAACAAATACCACCTATAATTAATGAACCAGAGTCTATGCTCCACCAAACCCACACGTCGTCTGCCAGGCTAATGTTAAAAGAGGTGACTTGGGTATAGTCAGTCATCTCAACCGTATTGAACAGGAACCCGATGTTGAATATATATCACAATTTTTATATTTATTTTTCAAGTATTTTTGTTTTCGTTGCAATTTTACATTTAAATAAAAAAAAATCCCTTTGACCTCACCCGACACCAGACACTGTGGTATAAGAGACAACACCACCTCCCCACCATCCACCATATCGGGACTGTATTTGAAAGGGGAAAGTCTAAACTTAACTCCCATTGAATACCTTATGAATACGTCACCAATATATTCCCATAGAGTCTACTGCTGTAAAATTCGTCAGGTGCTCAAAACTGACAGATACCAACACTTCGGAAGTTGTCCAGTTTGTTAACTTAGGCCTAGGGTATCTAAGCAGAGCACAACTCCACTGGCTTACCGGCCTATTGGGAAAATATCCGAATTAACGATAAGTTAGTCTGTCACTGTGTGTGTGTGTGTGTGTGTGCATTCTCGACACTGTCATGACAAAAACCTGCAGAGACCCTCGGCCAGATTGAAAGAACACACCAGGACTAGTTTAATGAAAATGACCAGGAAGTCAATGTACTCGTCGATGATGAACGTGCTGCTTTAACTGAGTGGCAGAACAACCCTCAGTCTCGAACCAAAGCTGATACCTTCCTCAAGAAGAAAGCGGCGGCCCAGCGCGAATTTCGTAATCTAAAGAACGACTTGTTTCAAATTAAAGCATGCAAAACACAAAAACCTTCCGATCATTCCGATCAACACAAGATGTGCGAATTTTTAAATTCCACTAAAACATTTTTTGGGGTCAATCACTCAGGCACAGCCCCCCTCCGCTCATCCGACGGTAACTCCCAAATAAAAGACAATAAAGGCCTCCTTCAGCGCTGGGAAGAGCACTACCATTCACTGCTCAACCAAAACACCGATGTGGATGTCCTGACTACCCAGCAGGTCCCTCAGCATCCATAGCTGACCCACCTCAGCTATCCTCCATCCCTGGATGAGGTAGCTACTACCATCAAACAGATGAAAAATAACAAAGCCTCAGGGCCTGATGGAATCCCAGCCGTGGTGTATAAAGCAGAAGAACCTTTGCCTACCAGCCGTCTCCAGTCTTTCCTGGAGAATAAATGGGAAAAGAAGGAAATCCCCCAAGCTCTTAAAGTCGCCTCCATCGTCAATATTTATGAGAACAAGGAAGACCGGTCAGACAGTGGCAACTACTGTGGGATCTCGCTGCTGCCGGTAGCTAGCAAGATTATCGCCATTGTGAGGCAACACCACGACGGAATGAAAGGCAGTGTCCTGCACAATGGCACCCAGCCTGAGTTCTTCCCCATCCAAACGGGGGTTAAACAAGCGTGTGTACTGGCACTAACTCTATTTTCCATTTTCTTGGCTGCCTTACTTACTCGTGCCAGTGCCAATTTAGTCGACGGGGTAGACATCGAGTACCAGCTGAAGGGTTTTTTCAACATAAGACGACTCCAGACAGATACAAAGGTGTCGGAAGCTTCCATTACTGAATTTCAGTATGCAGATTATCTCACCCTTGTCGCTCACATTAAACGAGACCTACAGGATATCCTGAAAGCCTACACAGAGGTGCATGCACACTTAGGCCTTGAGGTGAATATACGTAAGAATCAAATTCTCTTTCAGTCTGCCCCTGGTTCATCCACACCTCCACCATCCATCCAACTTCTAGGTACTACCCTCTCTAATGTTACCCACTTTCGATATCTCGGCTCCCACCTGTCCACCACTGCAGACATCGATGAAGAGATTCAGCATCGAATCAGATGTGCATCTGAAGCCTTTGGCACACTCCGTACCCGTGTCTTCAGCTGTAGGGAGCCGAAATTATCTACAAACCTGCACGTATAGCAAGCAATGGTCCTCCCCATCCTGCTATATGGCAGCGAGACATGGGTCACATACAGGAGGCACCTCAAGGCACTTAAAAACTTTCACCACCGCAGTCTATGTTCCATCCTCCGAGTTCGCTGGGAAGACAAGAGAACAAATGCCAGTATTCTCGCTGACACTAACTGTAGGAGCATCGAGGCTACGATTACCCATGAACAACTATGCTGGACTGGCCATGTTACCTGCATGGACGACAGTAGACTGCCAAAGCAGCTACTTTACAATCACCTAACAAATAGTAAACGTAATGCTGTCGGGCAACTAATAAGGTATAAGGATAGTCTTAAGACAAATCTGAAAAGTGCCAAATCGACCCCCTCACCTGGGAGACAGTTACTGCACCGTAACGCTTGGAGGAGCACCGTACAAGAAGATGTCTATACTTTCGAGTTAGACCGACTGCATACCGAGGCAGACAAGCGCCAACGCCGGAAGGACGCTGCCGCCGCCCTTCCTACACTAGATGTAGCCCCCACATGTGCAACATCTGTGACGGAACCATATCGGCCTCTTTAGCCACCTCAGAACTCACCAACGTAGGTGACATCCTTAATAACTCATATCATCGTATCATAGCTGGACGATCGTCATACTCCATTCCGAGTGACAACAAAGTAGTAGTTGTAGTATAGTATAATAATAATAATAATAATAATAATAATAATAATAATAATAATAATAATAATAATAATAATAATAATAATGATAATAATAATAATAATAATAATAATAATAATAATAATAATAATAATAATAATAATAATAATAATAATAATAATAATAATAATAAACGGTTTATTAATAGAGTTGCACCGGTGGCTGAAAATATACAAACTTACATGTGATTTAGACATAATAATATACGTTCAATACATTTACAGGGCTGTACAGTACATAAATCAGGAGCTAGTTGTTATTTTAACAATAGATGGGATGGTGCTATTCTTATATCTATCAGTGCCGGCTCTTATGGGCTGAATTTTGTTGTAGTGGCGGAATGCGCAAGGTGAGCGGGGTACTGCAGTTGGTAGTAGGTGGCGATGACGAGGATGGTGCAGTAGTCCACTACCAAACCTTGCTAGTGCGTGGTGGTGGAGGTCACTGGGGGATGGCATTTCCAGGGTGGGGTGAACGTTGTTGTAGCTGGAGTAGTTTGCGCCGAGCATGTTTCTGCAGGCCCTCTTCTGTACCTTCTCTAGCTGACGTTGTTGGGTAGAGTTGAGAGAAGACGACCAGGCTGGTGATGCATACGTTAATTTGGGGAGTATAAATGCGTTGTAGATAGTCCTCAGCTCTGGGGTGGGTGCCCCAAGTGACCTGAGTCGTCGTAGAATGTAGAGTCAATACGAGGCTGCCTTGATAGTGTTGTTTACGTGGACCTTCCAGTCCAGTTAGTGGTCTATAGTTACACCCAGGAGTTTGGCAGACTGCACTAACTGGAGAGAATGGGCACCCACTGTAACTGCTGGAGTTTGCACTGGAGTGGTGGCGTTGTTGATGTGCATGACTACGGTTTTGGTGTGTGTGTGTGTGTGTGTGTGTGTGTGTGTGTGTGTGTGTGTGTGTGTGTGTGTGTGTGTGTGTGTGTGTGTGTGTGATAAAATGAATAAATATTATATAAATATTTGCTACATAAATGTTATAAAAATCGCAAGCTTGGCAAATCCGCAATATCAACATCTTCTACATTACATACGGATGTGAATTTTTTTTAATATTCAGTGGATGTAATGTAATTACCATACGTTTTTTCCAAAAGTACATTGTGTTTTTTAATCTGGCCTTCACCACCAGCACCATGGGGAGGAAACACACCCAGATGCTCTACGGAATGTCCCGTCGCCGGCTCCCCTAAACTCTTCTACCAGCCAGAACACACCTACACCTACACCTACTCCGGAAAGTCCCACATCCACCTGAAGGGCGTGGAAGGTGGAGTCACAGGGACGGATTGGTCTTCACGAGTTGAACTATCATGGATCACCCCCTGTGACATGGTCATCTTCATTAAGGACTCCAAGGTGGATGGTGCCACAGGTGAGTGTAATGTTTATCATCATACATGGTACTAATACCGGCAGTAGCAGCTGCTTTTACTACTTCCTAATACTGACACTAGATGTACTAACTACTGGTCCTCCCAGGCCAACCCACTGCCAAGTTCCTGGAGAAGTACCCGCTGGTGGTGGCCCTGACCGACGGCCGGGTTCAGCACGTGTGTACTCATCCTGAAGACGACGTCTGGTCCATCAACATCAAGAAGGGCATCGCCTCAGCCTTCCAGAACTCACTTCCTTCTAATTCTACCATCAACTCAGGACAAAACATCACTGAGGTGAGATCAGAGTTATTTTTCACATGAGATAATGAAAAGTGGAAATGTCAATCAGTTCCATTTTCCTTTCTCATTTTTGTTAAGATTTCAGTTATTTTAACGAACTTAATCAAATCAAATGTATGTTAACTTACTCTTTCCCCGCCACCTCTGCTTCATCATGATCTGAGAAATATACTTCATGAAGATTCAAGATTAGTTGTTTATATTTAATTTTATATTTGTCCCAATTTGTAAAGAAACAAAAACCAATATACCCCAATATAATTAAGTAATTACTTTCGTGACTCATGATCTTATGTAAGACTTTCTTTAAGGTCCAATAATCATAAAGTAATGTATTACTTTTATGGTCAAAATTATAAGATTTATTTAACTAACCTTTTACTCTTTAACTCAGAATTTGTCGTTCAATATGAAATCACTAAACGATTTTCATTTATACCACTAACAAATTACAATGGCTCTGTTTTCTAATACATAATTTATATTTTGTCATGTACTGTTCCAGCCTTTTACTGTGCAATACCTATGAATAATTAAAGATAAATTGCCAGTTACTCCCAAAAAGCGAAAATTAAAGTTGAATGTGTGAGGCTATAACAGAAGAACTTGTGTTAGGTATTTTATTATTCAATCCCGTATAAAAGATCAGTTCCTATCACTGATATTGATCTTATATACAGACGGACGTGGTAGGGAAGTGCCCAACACACTACGAGGTAGAGAGAGAAGGAGACAAGGTTATTGTGAAGAAGGAGAAGAATCACCGCTTGTGCAAGAAACGTTACCCCACCCCTGCCGAGACCCAGATGCCCTGGCTCAAAGGTCCTCTCCCACTGGAAGAGTCCGAGTGTCGATGTAAACAAGAGATTACCAATGGAATCTACTCTTCCATCATCTGTCACGATAAGAAAGTGGTCCGCCCCAGCTATGGTGCCTATAAGTATGTTGAAGCCAAACAGGAGTCCACACTACGATACGTCTCACTATCCAGCCAACAACCACCTGCCATCCCTCAAGGTAGTCTGGTCCGCAAGAGTCTCCGGTATAGCTACCATACGCTCAACAAGGACCCGTCCATGGTAGCCGAGTTGGATCAAACCATGACTCAGATCTGTGAGAAGACTAAAGATGTTGTTGAGCGTGATGCTGCTGCTCTGGTGGCCAAGGCTGTGCAGCTCCTGCGTCGTGTACCTGAGGAAGCTGTGAAACAAACATTGGACAAAATTCGTGCCAGACGTTACTGCCAAGACCACAGCAAACTCGAGAGCCTCTTCCTGGACGCTGTTTCCTTCATCCACGAGTCTGGTGCTGTAAAGGTTATGGTGGATGAGCTGGTGAATGGCCGGGCTACAGTAGGTCGCGCTGCACTTTACACTGCTGCCTTCTATCTTCAACCCCGCCCATGTATCCATGCCATGATGGCTCTGAAACCAATGTTCGAATCCTCCCAACCTCTGCCACGCGCCACCCTGGCTGCTGCCTCCATGGTCAACACTTACTGTCGCCACAATCATCATTGTTATGAAGAAGCACCGGTTAAGAGTCTTGTTGAAGCTTTGGGTAATAAACTACAACGCCAGTGTTCTCCTTCTGCTGATGAACGGACTCAAAAAGCTGCCCTGGCAACACTCAAGGCTCTAGGTAACATGGGAGTGATGACCCAGGAGGTAGCCAGGTTTGTGATGACGTGTGTGGATACAGAAGGAGTCAAGATCAATGTCCGTGTGGCCGCCGCACAAGCCTTCAGACAAGTGAAATGTGAACGCCACGTAAGTAGACATTAAACGATATATGATATACTTTATTGATATATTCACTAATTTTTGTTAATACTACATCAACTCAAGCACAAAACATAATCCTTTAAACTTGTATTTCCAGCAAACCGAACATTTAGTCAATATTGCTGTTCATCCTGCCAAGAACACAGAAGTTCGTATTGCATCCTATCTTATGGCAATGAGATGTGTTCAGCAGAAGGACCTGCAAATGATTGTCAACAATACATATCACGAAGAAAACACTCAAGGTAACATTTCAGTTTTGTATCTGAAAACCAGGAAATAAAATAAGAAAATTTCTTCTTCAATAGTCATGTATGTAAAGATTTTGAGGTAGACACTGACCCATAAAACTGCTAATGGTCACAAATATTATCATCCACGTGTTTTGTTTTTTTTCAGTTCGTGGATTTATTCTGAGTCACCTGCTGAACCTTCAGGACACCAACACACCACACAAGGATTACCTCAGATACCTCTTGACAAATACTCTTCTTCCCAGGGACTATAAGACTGACTTCAGGAAATATTCCCGCAACATAGACATGTCCTACTTCGCCCCGTCTCTCGGTGTTGGTGCTGGCGTTGAGTCCAACATCATCTACGTCCCTGGGTCCTTTGTGCCTCGTTCCGTTGACTTCAACTTCACTGCCGCCTTTGAGGGAATCTCGATGAACATAGGCGAGGTTGGTGCCCGACTTGAAGGTCTAGAACCTGTCATCGAGGAGGTGTTTGGACCTGAAGGTTACCTGCAGAGAACTAGTTTCAGCCAAATTCTAACCGACATGACTACATTTGTTGAACAAAAGGGAAACAAAATCCTCGAAAAACTCCAACAAGACTTGAGACAAAAAAGGTCCATCGACCTCAGTACCTTAACAAACTTCCTCGGCAAACTTTACAGTGACCAATCCAGAGTTACTCGTGCCGATGTGTTCGCTCGCTTCATGGGTCAGGAGATAACCTTTGCTTCATTAGCTGGAGACTTGAAGCATATCAGTGCTGACGAAATGATTGAAAGCTTCTTCTCATACTTCGATGACATTCTTCCTCAGATGAAGAACTTGCACATCAATTCAGCACGAACAGCTCAGATAAACTTTGACTACACCTTCCCCACCATCCAGGGCATACCACTCAAACTTCAGCTGAATGGAACAGCTGTTGCTGGACTGAAGATGCAAGGAAACCTTAACCTCATTGACATCCTCTTTAACTGGAGGAATGGGGAGAACCTCTTCAAGATCATTCCTAGTCTTTCTGTCCAAGTAGATGGCTTCGTCGGCTACGACAGCTATAACAGTAAATTAGGACTCGAAATGAGAAACACCATCTCCAGCAGCAATGGTGTCTCTATTATGGTCAAACCCAAGAATGCTAATGAACTGGAACTTCATTTGGACGTCCCTGTGAAGATGGACCTAATTGATGTGAAAAGCCAAATATACATGATGAAGCAAATAAGAGGACAACCAAGAACTGAGATCTCTCCTCCATCCTCAGAGGGCGGCAGCGTTAGATATCAGTCATGTAACACCATTCTTGAGTCATTACTTGGTTTGAAGTTCTGCTATGACTTTAACTTCCCTAACCTCATCCGTACCAGTTCTCTGCCTTTAAGCGAGCCAGTTGTTGCCAAACTATTCGTTGAGAAAACTGAGCCTTCTATGAAAGGATATCTTATGACTGCAAACATTCAGGGCGAAAGAAATAAAAAAATAATTAAAATAAAAGTAGAAACATCCGGATCTTCCTCACCAAGAGAAGCCCAAGTGATATTGTCCTATACCAAGCAAGAGGAATCCTACCAACTTTCTGCCGACATTAAATCTTCTTCCATCAACAGCGATATCTCGACCACGATCGTCAACAGACAAGGTCATAAGGGCGTCGAGGTTTATGCAAAATTTAAGTCTAGTCAGACAGAAATATCCCGCGGAATCAAAATGGATTATAAGACAATATCAACGTCAAATGAACAGAAATACGGCATTGAAGTTTATGTTAGCAGAAGCAAAGAATTCTCATCGCAATCACAAGTTATCGAGGCCAAATTTGCCAAGAAAGTTAACCATCCCGAGATTTCGTTGGACGTTTTACTCAAGACCATGAATGCTCTGAGAAATTACCTTAACATGCATTTTGAGGGTAAGCGTATCTTTTGGATATGATATTTTGCCTGCGTCCTCTTCAGGCAAACAACATATTAGATACATTCTTGTTCGTAAAATATTTTATTATTTCTGCTGCAAAACTTAGGTATTTAATCAATAAATCGAAATGGAAATTACAGAAACATAACTTCTACTTTTTTCCATGTAGTTGGAACCGACCTGACATACACCCAGTACTCCCGGCTGCCTCTACCAACGAAACTGCGCAAGTTTGAGTTCCAGAGTGGCATGAAAGACTGGCAAGTTACCTCCTTTATCCGTCAGACAAAAGAGTCAGGCGAGATGAGTGTATACTCCTCTGTCTTCAATATAAAACGTAGTACCCAAGACATGATCGTTGCTGAAGCCAAACATAATATAGAAGGAACATTTGGCCAAAACTTGGTAGTAGAGACAGCTGTTACAGGTATGTGCTGTATTATTTATTGTATTGTTATTCATTGCATGCATTTCAATTATTTATTATTCGCGATTTTTTTCTTTTGTTATGAGGTATAACACCGAATAATGTCTGAAAGAAACTTTGTTACCCTCAGTCAAAATGGGCAGTGCCGAGTACAAAGCTGCGTCCAACATCCACTGTGAGAGAAACAAGAAGGGAATTTCCATGCAAATGGTTCGTTCTGGTGATGCCACGAAGGTCATTGAACTGAAAGCTATCAGTGACTACTCTGGCCAGTCATATAACGTTAAAATGATGGTAGGTTCCTTCTTCCTATAAGCAAATTGTTGTACAGTAGCACATGTAGCATGACAAAACATGCTCAGAAAATGATCCAGCTTCGCAGTGTTCTTTGTTGCCGTTGATCATGTAAAGGTTCTTTTGCTTGTCAAGACGTCAAGACGTTACATTTCTGTTTTTTTTTATCAAAATTATTAAAGATCTATTACTACGATTAAGGAATAATTCAAGGATTTTCTTTCTTGGCAGTTGGAGATGCCGGAGTGGATTAGGACCATCAAGTTCGAGAGCCGGGTGGTGGAGCAGGGACAGGATAGTTACATGGTTGAAGCTGCCCTTAAGCACGGAGAGAGCGTCATTCTCCATGTTCAAGGACCACTCACACTCAGGCTAACATCTCAAGTTGTTCAGCTCCAGACTGATATGAAAATCACGACCATGACCAGTCAACAACTCAAGTTAACTTCCATGTTTTTCTTTGGTGAAAACAAACAAATGCTTTCAATTGTAGTTAGCACACAGGAACCAATCTTCATTCTTGAGTGGAATATGAAATCAGGCTCCTCCCAAGGCACCGTAATAGGAGTCAGGTTCCTCCTTCCTGCCCTCATAGACAACAAAGTTGACGCCATCATTCAAGAGAGACTTGGCCATGTTAGTTTCAACACCCAGTTACTACCAAAGAGTTCGTCCGCTCGCAGAATAAAGGGCTTTACTGATATTGACCTCCAAAATAAGAAGTGGACCGCTGACTTCTCCTGGGACGCCGATAATGACCAAAATAAGAAGATCAGCTTAGACACCACCATGATCAGCAGCCCCTCCAACCCAGGACGAGCCTCCATCCAGTAAGATTTATCACCTCTTTTCCTTTCTGCTTGGTAACAAGTTCATTTAAAAGACTTTTAGATATAAACATTGTTCTGTACAGGGACGATTGCGATAAATTTTTAAATATATGAACGTAATGTACAGTCTTCTGTTTTCATGTTGATAAAATAGTTTATTAAACAATTTAATCGAAATTGTTATGTGATGAAGGTTTCTCCTAATTCTCCATACATAATTATTATGAATATAATATTTATATGATAATCTACAGCGGAAACGTCAAGTACATGGCCCAGATGTACCACGTCAAGCTGGACGTCGACGCAGAGAATCTTATGCACTCCCGGTCCGGAGACAATAAATTTAATTTCGAGGTGACGACGCCCTCTCAGAACACCATTGACTTGAATATCATTACCAATTTTGAGTCAAGGTCCACCAAGGTAAACACTAATTTCTTGTACAAAAACCAGCAGAACAACAAGGCATACAAGTTAATAAGTGCCATAGACCTGGAGAAGCTTGGCAGTCCCTACAGCTACAAGCTCAATTCTGAGCTCAGCTATACATCACCACAAGGCCAACAGACAACTTTGCACGCTGAAGCAAAACACCAAATCACACCAGAAGAACGTGAATTACACTACAAGGTAACACAGTTTCCTCCAGTTCCACGTGATTATGTATTTCAGGGAATATTTAAAGAAAATACAAATAGTGATAAATAAGAATATTAATATATGACGATAACTACTGTTTTCTGACGTTACAATATACGTTTACTGGTTATTATTTCTTACCTAAATAAGTTTATATTCACGAACAATCTTATTCATATTGTTATATCTTGAACATTCATATAATTATTGAGAAATATAATAATTTTACAGGCAACTGTGACGTCTCCTGCCTTGACTAAGCCTCTTCAGGTAGAGATGTCAACAGTCAACAAAGAAAACTCGTACAGTGTTAAGGCCATGGCACAAGAGGACATGTTCATCTGGCACCTGGAGACTGTTCCTCAAGGTGGAGTTAAAACTCTTCAGATGTCCGTAGATGTAAAATCTATTCGTGACTTCATGAAGACCGTGCGTATGCTGGTTGGAGTAAACAGTGGGGAGCAAATTGTCATGCTAACTGAACAACGCGAGAGAACTGAATACGGCATCCACTACCACAAGCCCACACCCACCACCTACACTATGCGAGTTGAGTATCCAACCCGCACCATAGAGGGTGAAGCTACATACTCTCCCACAGAGGCAAGTGTCAAGGTATATCCCAACAAGAGAGAGAGTAACGCCAAATACGAGTTAACTGGAAAGTCTTCTCACACGTACTGGGATCAAAAGTCCAAGTTTGAAGGCCATATTAGCCACCCAAGTCTGACCAGGGACATACGAGTAGAGGTTCAGTACTCGGTCACTGGAGAGAACATGAGAGGCACCATTGAGCTGGACATCTTCCCTGACACAGCTGACAAAATAACAGGCACTCTACAGTCAACCTTGGTCGCCAACAACACCGTTAGGGTGGAAACTTCATTAACTTCTAAGGTAAGTTTGTAAGCTTATCTCTGTTTATAAACTTCTCTATGTTTATAACTATAACAGCTTTATCTTATAGTCCTGTATATACCACTATAAGAATGCCATGACCTACCTCTTACAGATGCTGAAGGTGAGCCCCAAGTTCATCATGGTGACGGCCTATGCTCCCCATACGGTTGGCTTTGACCTCAAGTTCCAGAAGTCTCCCTCTTCACCAGTATCCTTCCAAATGTCGGCCAAGTACGACCGAGTCACTGATAAGGATGCAACAGCAGCTTTCCGCGTGGTGACTGAGGAAGGCACCATGGTGGACATAGCTGGAGTGATGGAGCGAAAGGAAGAACGTGGATGCCAAGGTGTGAAGATCAAGGGTGTGGCTCAAACTTCACTGCTCGGCAGCTACCATATTTACTCCAGGATCTGTAGACCAGCCTTCATCGAGCTAATTACGAGCAAGCACGGCAGTCAGATGGAATACATAACCAAGTTTGGCCTCCAAGATCCTTATAACATTGAGCTCAGCATGTCTGAGGGTGACAGGGATCAACTACAGAGACGTGCCATAGCCATGGCCCGTGTACTACTTGCTTCCCCTACCATTATCGATGTTGACTTGGCCTATAAACCTGAGAAGGTGGCAGAGGTACAGGTAAGATGTATAGACGTACAGGTTTAAGTTTAACCTTAGCTGTAAGTTTTTAAAGAATCTTGATACAGATTGTAAACTGTATTGCGAAAATTTTGATTTTCTATCGAGAACTATTAACAGGCTTATCATTTATTTTATAATATGAATTTCACTTGTGAACAACAGAATAGAAAATGCTCGTTCGTTCGAATGGTTGTTGACTCGAAGGTTCATTAGTAAAATAAGACAACCTTCGAAACAACGAACAATGTGACGGAATAGTTTATGAATAAAGGGCTTATGAAACATGAATCTGACAAAGTATGAATAATAATTAGATTATTCATGTGCCGTCGGACAATATTTTATTTGTAAAGTAAGATGTCTGTCTATACATTTATAATATATCTGTTTATACATTTACAAGATGTCTGTTTATACATTTACAAGATGTCTGTTTATGCATTTACAAGATGTCTGGTTATACATTTACCAGATGTCTGTTTATACATTTTCAAAATGTCTGTTTATACATTTACAAGATGTCTGCTTATATATTTTCATGACTGTTTATATATTTACATGTCTGTTTATATATTTACAAGATGTCTGTTTTTATATTTACATGATGTCTTTTATACATTTACATGTTTGTTTATACATTTACATAATGTATGTTTATACGTTTACAGAATGATGTCAATGAAAAGTATCAACGAGTGATGCAGTCTCTCGACCGGTGGGTTAACAGTATATATCAGTACCTGCAACAACAAGCTCAGCAACAAGGTAGTCACTTCCCTAACCCCGAGATCCTCAAGTTGATGAACGAAGCCAAACTTGACCTTCAACAAATATATGATGGTGTGATTTATGGTCAAGTTATGCCTTGGTGTAAGGCTCTCTGTGAAGTCCTCTGGGGTCCTACAGTTACCCATATAATTCAGGTAGTCAGCGAAATACTATCACAAGTGTACAGAGTACAACGAGACCTCCAAACTCGTATTGTGCAGGAGACTGAAGCCTGGAATGAGCAGTTCCGAGGACTTACTAACTTACTTATCGAATGTAAGTTATAAACATTTCCTAGCCTTTAAGATCAAATCTAACAGAATGTCATATATAATAGCACATGATACACATTATCACAAAATGTACATTATGAATATTTCCCCCATAGTTGTGGCACAAACTTCACACTGGATGGAGAGCGGCGAGATGCCACAGCCAGTGCGTCGCCTGATGGAACAACTGGAACAAACGAGGATCTTCAGGATGATAATGATGGAAATGGACGCCATGAGGGAGCAGTACCAGGAGGAGTACGAGGCCATCAAACAGGTGGTGGCCAAGGTGAAGCACACACTCCAACAAGATATTCGCAAGAATTTCGAAAGAATCACAAGGATTCCTGTCGTACAGCAGAACATCAAGTGGATCATCCAGGAGTTCAGCCAAGTTAGTATCGATCTGATTTGTTCAGTCATAGATGTAAGGAGATGCTTGTCTAACACGGTGTTAAAACAGTACTATAACGCCCGCCAGGTGGAGACTATTGGAGGAATCTTATATATTATAACATATGAAGATTATGAACAGAGCCAAACGATGACTGACCCCTCTACTGTCTTCCCAATCTATTATTTGTCTACCGGAGTAATATTTTTTACAGTATACCACGGAAAGCATATGAAAAGCCCCGCAGATTCACTAACCCCTAAACCTCCCTCCCAGTATCTTTCACTCTGAAAACTTTCTCAATGTCTGATTCAAATGAGTTTGGGAATTTGTGGTGTTGGAGGATTTTACTTTTAGGTGTTATGAGTTACACTTCCTGACTATTATCTTTTAATTACAAATTTTATTTGGAAAAAAATCTCTCATTTCAATCCCCATCAACTTCAATGACGGTATTGGCATCTACGTTAATGACTGTTGTAGTTAAACAGCTTCTTAAATATAGGAATGATGCTTCTAACCTGCTGGATACTTATGCATCTCATAATCTAGTATTAAATGGATTGAAAATATTTTTTTTTAACAAATCAATACACATAAAAGTTACATTGCTTAAGGATGAATCATCCTATGATAATTGCTATCACTTTACATACAAAGTTAATGCCTTATCCAAAATACAGAAGTAAATATTTCACCAGAACCTAATCTAATCATATGATTCCTCTTTCTTCAGGAAAACATGGTGGTCAAGAAGATGGGACGGTACCTTAGTAAGAAGATTCAAGGTGCCATCTGGGGGGTTGCCATCGAGACAAAAGAACAAGAAATCTTACTCCAAATTCCACTCTATAGACCCGTTTACTCTTTGACTCAAGTCCTGCAGGAGATGAAACTAACCCCAGTCTATCTTCTTGAAAAACTGGCCATGGTTTATGACAGCTTCCTCCCCATCCCTGTCAACAACTTGATGTGGGCGTACTACTCGATGATGCCCCGTCAACTGACAGACATGCTGCCCCCTTATAACCGCACAGCCATGGTTGTTGGTGACACAGAGATCCTCACCTTTGACGGCGCTGTTCTCCGTGTACCTAGTTCACCGTGTAAGGTGGTGCTGGCTGCCTACGCCTCCAACAAGCTTACCATGGCCCATCCACAACCCTCAGCCCCACCACAGATCACCTTATCTACTCGCGCAACTACTGTCACCATTAAGCCGGACTTCCGTGTTGACGTCGGCGGACAAGAGATGAGCAGTTCACAACAAACTCAGGGTGATGTCACCATTCAGAAGACGCCCCGTGAAGTCAATATGACGTCACCCTTCATAACAGTCCGAGTGTTCCGTGAAGAACGTGTGATATCCGTGAACGTGTCTGGCTGGACCTTCGGCCGCCTGGCGGGTCTCCTGGGTACTTACGATGGTGAAGTGGGAAATGATTGGCTGATGCCTTCTGGTATCAGGGCTCCAAGTCTCCAGGAGTTGGTGTCATCATGGCAGGAGGACCAACACTGCCAAACTCCCGCCATCTCTCCCGTCAACCCTGCCAACATCTCACTACAAAAGAAGGTTCAGTGTCACGCACTACTGGGAGTTCGGTCCAGGTGCTACCCACTGGTTCATCCGGAGCCCTTCATCAAAATGTGCTACGGCGCCCGCCAGCCTTGGGACGCTGCACAAGGCTACCGCGCAATCTGCTCCAGGAAGGGTGTTGAGCTTATGATGCCCCTTGTCAACTGAGAACCACACAAGAGATGTATAAATGATTAACGCAGGACAACGCTACAAGCTTTAGTATCGACGCATCCACACTATCTCTAGAAACTGAGCTTCCTGTCCATACCATCCTGTATTTTGTCAATCCTGCCTCATGCCATTGAGGATGGAATCAGTTTACATTAGAGGTTTATTTTTGGGTATACCTTTAAGTTATGACAATTCGATGAGGATTATCACAATGTAAATGACGAATGTGGGGCAAAGCCTGTGGGACCCTCACATCCTGATTCGAGGAAAACCCCATTATGTTGAGCTTGGGTTGGATTGGAGCGGTGGTATGGGTGAAAGACAGAGCTGGGGTTAATACCTAGTAAGACAATTAAGTGGCCACATAACTTGCAATATCCTCAGACCATGATGATAGATTGTCTTTGACGAATTCCAACGTCTAGTTAGTTTAGTGGATTAGATATTTCAGATTGTCATAATATAACAAGGGTCCATCTCTAATATTACTATAGCTCATACCTGGGTGAATGAAATCAAAGTGAATAGACTAACCTGTACTAAGCTTGTGTCCATACTTAATTGATGTCTTTCACTGTCCTCAACCTTATATATAAGTGCAAACAAAAAATTAACAAAAAAATTAAATATATACGTACTGCAAATTTACCTCCTCGTTTTATTATTTCAACCTTCAACAAAATCTTAACAAAACACCTTTAAATATGAGAATGTGTAAATCTCTGTGATATGCATTTTTTTTAATAATTAACATTCCTATGAAGACTTTACTTTAACTAGTCTCCATTGAAGCAATCTTAACCACTTGGTTCAGTTCATGGTCAAGTGTTCATCACATCACACACAAGATTTATAAGTGCCCTCCACTCGTGCTGACTCTCTTCTAGACCTCATTAGCATCTACAAAACGTTTTCTCCCAATATTTTTTTAATCCTTAATGATTATGTGCTAATTACCATATCTCTATAAATTTAACCTCTTGGGTGAGTAGCGAAAGAACATCATCTATCTATCTATTTAACTTTACTCCTCTCCCACTTTAGTATCGACAACAACAAGAGATGCAAGCCTTTATAGACGAGGGAACAAGATGGCTGATACCCCACACCGTCCTCACAATTACTCATCTTACATCACAAGTTCACACCCAAAAAAAAAAATTGATTCCTTAACCTACAAATTGATTTCCAACTCTATATTATGTTAATTCACTTCTAATTAAGTTCTCACCTGTGCTATCCCTCTCTACCGTCATCAGGTTTGGTCTGCCACTATTCTGAGACACTATTCAGTCGTCTGGCACACTCTATACTCTGTCTTTTTCCATCAATTAATCTGGATCACCCAATGATTAGACAACCAAGTTTAATTCACCCGAAGATTAACCACCGTAACTCTAACCTAACCTAATCTAACTTAACCTAATCTAACCTAACCGATTCTAACCCCAGGTAATATTAGGGTGGTTAATCTTCGGGTGAAATAAACTTGGTTGTCTAATCTTCAGGTGATCCATTAGTTTTTATGGCTCTATTTTTTTAGAAGTTTGCAAATTGAAAGCAGTCGAATCCAGTACCGACCACGCTCCCCCAGCTACCTAAGGAGCTGTCAGGACTATGTGATCCACTTGCTCTCTCACTCCCATACACTTAAATTCATTTGTAACCCCTAAGCATTTTTCTATTCGTTGTGACATTATTCCGAGTCTAGCCTTCTCGTTTATTCACCATTACTGCTCTTTCCAGAATTTACCTTTGATATTTATTCTGCAAATTTCATCAAAATAATCTGTCTTTCTCTCCATCTCTCACCCAAACTTGGTTAACAGCACAGCATCATCACCATACAGTTATTGCGTCAGCTCTCACTTTGTAAGCCTCAGTCACCCATCTATTACAGCTTTAGACACTCCCTCAACTCACTCAGGCACACTATCGATAATTAATAGACGAGGTTGGTCGGAATTTTTTTCGTAAGATGACAGGTCACTGGGTAAAGAAAACGCTTAAATTCACTATGGTAATGATATTTTTAAATAAATTGGACCAAAAAGTTTATAAAATGGGGGTTAAGGTAGCTAAAAAGTCACGTAACTTCGAAAAGCTCTGTGAATCGGTTGCGACGTCCCAATGCATTCTCAAAACAAAGTCCAGACAATGTCATTACTTCTAAATTGACTCGTATCTCCATCTAGTACTAATATACTCTGTAAATGCACTGAAAAAAAAGAGAACGTCGACCAGGTAAGAATACATGACAGCTGAGCTGGTGTGAACATGGGAGTTTTTTATGTCCATAAGCTGCTCTTCACGGCACATTTCTTCACTCACGAAATGTCCATGACTTAGACCATAGAAAAAACACGCTTAAAACTTACCTGAACGTGGCATTTTGGTTCTGAAGAGGCCATCCTTTGTACTACCTCCAACTGCAGCGGTGAGTTTGTTGGAGAACGTCGTCTGCGGGGAAACTGGTGACGCATTGCAAATGGCGGCCCTGTTTCTAGAGAAATAAAATTATCTCGACTATTATAGCAGGACTTTAAGCTTTTATTACAAACTATATATACCGTATCACTCTACGAACGTGGCAGTGTATTTCTTGAGTTCACTCAGAACCGACAACTCGTCCATTCTCACACATGCTCTATTTACTGTACATCATAGGCAGTGACTCTCCCTGTAGCATTAAGTCCCTGACAGTGGGACAATTGACGCAATAATGTTGAGGAATATTGTATGTGGGACTGCCACACTGCAGGAAGAGAAGTGCAGGACACCCTTCACCTCAGAGACTTGTCAAATAAGTCAGTATCCCAGCCTATTGCATACCAAGACAATAATATGTTTGCGAACCATACATTCACGTCGATGATACTTAATTTGCAGGGAAGAAACTGATCGTTAGACACTTCTCACTGCAACGCAGGACAGAGGTTCATGCTCAAAGAAATACATCGTATTCATTGACAGCACATATATATATATATATATATATATATATATATATATATATATATATATATATATATATATATATATATATATATATATATATATATATATATATATATATATATATATATATATATATATTTATATATATATATATACATATATACATACATACATATATATACATAGATCAGATTCATGTGGGTAATGTCACTGTTCACTGCCACGCACGACAGAAGTTCGTACACAAAAAATACACAGAAGAGAAGGAGAGGCAGGGACATCTGTCCTCAATCAAGGCTAGTGTAAGACAGAGGCCCTGGGTCAGCAGAGGTGGCTGACCCAGCAAGCTCCGCCCGTCTGCACTGTAAAGCTTCTGCGCTTCACCTTGCACAGGATGTAAGGGGGTGCCCAATAAACTAGTTCCCTCGTGGGCAATCTGTAATCTGTCCGCGCAAGTGCATATTAACGTCATTTAATTAACAGAGCTTACATATACTACTAAAAGGTTTGAGGCAATGTTTTAAATGGGAGAAGGTTAGGAATATTTTGGGGAACCCAATGAGTCGATAATATGAGCTAAAATAAGTGATATAACAATGAGAACATAAGCATAAAACAATCGGCCACCCCACATCCCTGGATGGGTCACGACCACGCCGTTTCGGTCAAGCTGAGCTGGGAGACCATGTGGTGGATAATGCGATACTTAACCTTCACGTGAGGGGTGGCCATGCAGTATGGTACAAGAACAGGGGGAAAAAACACAAAATCAATAGGGAGAAAGCATAGTCCATCATAGAAATATAAATATAAAGCACGTTCCCGTGACATGTTCTACTATCGTCAATAAAACGAGTCTTTACAACATTTCCCGATTACTGATTTTCGCTTTTTTTTGGCTAATATTCTTTGTTCCTCTTCCCAACCATTTACTTTTAAATTTCGTGTTATATCCTTGAGGATTTATCTGTTCTGCAAGTGGCAGTCCGTCCCTTTAGGATTGTATGCATTAATCATATATACTATCATCAAACTGATAACCATGCCAGACAGATGAGGTTGTGAAAATCTCTTCAGGGACATCAGACAGGCACTGGTGTCTGTGATGGGTGTGGGGGGAGCAGAGAGTGCTGAGTATATAAGCTGAGGACAGAAGGGGGCTGGTGCACAGTCGTGGTATCGCAGTTGTGTCGCCATGATCACCTCTGCAGCTCTCCTCGTCCTCGGCCTTGTGGTGGGTGCTGGTGCAGGTGAGCCTTAAGTGACATTAACGACACCACCACTCTTAACTACCACACTACCACTCTTAACTACCACACCACTACTCTTGTCTACCACGCCACTACTCTTGTCTACCACACCACCACTCTTGTCTACCACACCACTACTCTTGTCTACCACACCACTACTCTTGTCTACCACACCACTACTCTTGTCTACCACACCACTACTCTTTGTCTACCACACCACTACTCTTGTCTACCACACCACTACTCTTGTCTACCACACCACTACTCTTGTCTACCACACCACCACTCTCATCACTGCACACCAATGCTACAAGAAATCTGTACTATGGTATTACGCCGTCATCAACATTCTGCCTTAAATCCACTGATGGTGATGCGTTTCCCTCACAGCCAAAAGGTCGTCCAGCTGATGGGCAGTAACGTGTGCTTTCAAGTCAGTTCAGTACGAATCAGTTCACCCAACACTCGACAAAAGTGCCAGTCAGCATCTCTCACTTGACTCTCTTGCACGCTTGCTGATACAACAAGCTCATGGACACTATCAGTATTATCATGAGAGTAAGAGTAATCAGAGGCTCTATGACTCACCACAGACAATAATCTAGCAGGGTAACGTCCAATTGTTACCACACTTCATGTACAGTATGTTGTCAGTTCGAGTTTATTAATGAGTATATTTGTCTTCTTGTGTGTGTGTGTGTGTGTGTGTGTGTGTGTGTGTGTGTGTGTGTGATCAATTGTATTTGCTCTCCTGACATTATTCTTTATCGACAAATCTAGTTCTCCTTTCTGATTCTTTCTACCGTAATTAAAAAGATTTTAATACTCCGTCATATTTGTGCGTCAAATAATTTCATAACCGTTCCATTATTTTTAACGCATACGGAGAACCTGCCGGCACGAAACATATATGTATTCCCTTTACCCTCACTAAATTGTATGAAGACTCAGGTTGTGAGAACATCGTCCAGGTGAGAGAAGTCAGGCATCGTGTATTGGTCCCATGCTGGTTGTCAAGTGTACAATTGGCAGACTGCTATGATGTTAAGTGCTCCGCTGGTAAGAAGGTCGATATGACACTGCATAAGAAAGAGTCAAGGTGTCAGGATCAGTGATATTACTTTTCGTGATCCTAATTATGAAGTGCGTTCCGTAGACATTTGGGACTGTGTGGATGCAGTACACTGGTTACACTAAACTTTCAGCACACAAGGAGACAGCGTTTCCGACACTGCACTCGAGGGCCTTCATTTCCCGAACTATAATGTTAGGTAACCATTTACAGTTGGTTGGGCTGGAATTGTCTCGGACTGATCCAGTGATCCTTAGAATGGGAGGCGAGTTCTGCATCTACTCGACAGCAGCACTACATCCTGAAAAATCCATTTGCTTTGATCTAAAAAAGAAAGTGCCATGTATTCAGAAAACTTCACGTAATCGTTCATAGAAACTGCCTCGAGACACTTGAGAAGCGACACGGTGGCGGCAGCCAAGTCGCTGCAACTACAACCCACCTCCCGCCAGATGTTATGTCGTGCGAAAAATTCTGCAACTCATCAATTAGAATCGAGAAGTGATGTGACCATTTCCACGCCCCAATACGAATTAATATAAGGCCATGCTGAATAACGTTATTCACTCCCATACCCTCACAACTTACATTAAAAATTCCCCGTTGGTACACCCACTAAAAATGTATTCGGCACCCGTGTCATATTGTATCACGCCGTAAGGGTGCCGAATAATTTTTTTGTGGTGTACATCTCTACATTGTCGTTCGTCTGCCGGTCTGTCTATGAGTCCTCGTGTCCAACCAACTTACCGGCTCAACTATCACACAAAGTCTTACAACACTGACTTATGTTTCTACATAATTTTGGCCACTAACTAAGTTAACACTCATTCTCAAAGCACCTCGACTAGTACCCTGACAAGACCAACAGCGACGCCAAATGAAACAAACGATAACTTTATAAGATTATATATATGAATGAATATACGAGTAATAGACAGTTAATTCTAATTTTTGTAATGAGTTTTCAATTATTGGTTCTCGTATGTGTCCAGCACCGTGGGGAGGAAACACACCCAGATGCTCTACGGAATGCCCCGTCGCCGGCTCCCCCAAACTCTTCTACCAGCCAGAACACACCTACACCTACACCTACTCCGGAAAGTCCCAGATCCACCTGAAGGGCGTGGAAGGTGGAGTCACAGAGACGGATTGGTCTAAAGAAGTTGAACTATCATGGATCACCCCCTGTGACATGGTCATCTTCATTAAGGACTCCAAGGTGGATGGTGCCGCAGGTAAGTGTAATGTTTATCATCATACATGGTACTAATACCGGCAGTAGCAGCTGCTTTTACTACTTCCTAATACTGACACTAGATGTACTAACTACTGGTCCTCCCAGGCCAACCCACTGCCAAGTTCCTGGAGAAGTACCCGATGGTGGTGGCCCTGACCGACGGCCGGGTTCAGCACGTGTGTACTCATCCTGAAGACGAATTCTGGTCCATCAACATCAAGAAGGGCATCGCCTCAGCTTTCCAGAACTCACTTCCTTCTAATTCTACCATCAACTCAGGACAAAACATCACTGAGGTGGATAATATATTCTAAATTTGCTAAAAGAAGTTTCAGTGAGTTTTCATTCATAGTTTATTCAAGTGTAAGATAATTAATCAAACAAATTTATCATCAAATATGTAGATACCCATATGTGAACTATGGCCGACGAAAGCATGATGACCCAGTCTTAGAAGAAATTTACTCTTAATAAAGAGATAATAAGTAACAGTTCTCTCATCTTAGTGTTTTGAACATCTTATATAAAGACCACAAATAACTTTAAAGTAAAATTTTCACCATTTGGGAGTATATTGGAGCCAAGTGATGACAACCATTGCCACACATTTCTACCTTAATTATTTTTATATGCAAATAAATATATAAATAAATATTAAAGAAATAAAACATGCACATTCTCTCAACAGACGGACGTGGTAGGAAAGTGCCCAACGCACTACGAGGTAGAGAGAGAAGGAGACAAGGTTATTGTGAAGAAGGAGAAGAATCACCTCTTGTGCAAGGAACGTTACCCCACCCCTGCCGAGACCCAGATGCCCTGGCTCAAAGGTCCTCTCCCACTGGAAGAGTCCAAGTCTCTATGTAAACAAGAGATTACCAATGGAATCTACTCTTCCATCATCTGTGAGGATAAGAACGTGGTCCGCCCCAGCTATGGTGCCTATAAGTATGTTGAAGCCATACAGGAGTCCACACTGCGATACGTCTCACTATCCAGCCAACAACCACCTGCCATCCCTCAAGGTAGTCTGATCCGCAAGAGTCTCCGGTATAGCTACCATACGCTCAACAAGGACCCGTCCATGGTAGCCGAGTTGGATCAAACCATGACTCAGATCTGTGAGAAGACTAAAGATGTTGTTGAGCGTGATGCTGCTGCTCTGGTGGCCAAGGCTGTGCAGCTCCTGCGTCGTGTACCTGAGGAAGCTGTGAAACAAACATTGGACAAAATTCGTGCCGGACGTTACTGCCAAGACCACAGCAAACTCGAGAGCCTCTTCCTGGACGCTGTTTCCTTCATCCACGAGTCTGGTGCTGTAAAGGTTATGGTGGATGAGCTGGTGAGTGGCCGGGCTACAGTAGGTCGTGCTGCTCTTTACACTGCTGCCTTCTACTTGCATCCACGTCCGACCATCAATGATATAGAAACGTTATTGCCTGTATTTCAAATGATACAGCCTATGCCGTCTATAACACTGGCAGCCGCTTCTATGGTTAATACCTACTGTCGCCATAATCCTCTTTGTGAAAATGAGACATCAATCATGATCATTGCTCAAGCACTAAATAATAAAATACAGAGCCAGTGTTCGCCGCTCAGTGACGAGGAAACACAACATGCAGCCCTTATAACATTTAAAGCATTGGGTAACATGTGCGTGATGACCGCAGAGGAGACCACGTCTGCCATAAGATGTATGAAGACTAAAGATGTTGAGCTTAACGTTCGTGTAGCTGCTGCTCAATCTTTCAGGCAAACAAAATGTAAACAACCCGTAAGTATTATTATTAAGCTATGTCATTAAATTTTAGTCACGAGAGATCTCCCAACAGCTGGTAGATATTATTATTTATTAATATTAGTGACAATTTATCTAATACATGTCACGTTCTACTCCTACAACAGATTACCAAGCAGCTTATCAAAGTCGTCGTTGATCCTACTTTACATACAGAAGTTCGCATTGCAACCTATCTTGCAGCAGTTCGATGTGCTCAGGAGTTAGATTTAGAAACACTTGTTAATATGATATCTGAGGAAGAAAACACACAAGGTTGGGTTCCTTTTTTACATTAGTTTCAGTTTCCAGGTTTAGTATTTTTTTTTTTGTGAATGAAGTCATTACCTCTTAATAAAATTTCTAGGATTTAGACAATTATGTTAACCACTATAGTTCTGAGGAGAAATATGCGAGTCTTAATGAGGACTCATTTTACATTTCATTTCAGTTCGTGGGTTCATTCTGAGTCACCTGCTGAACCTTCAGGACACCAACACACCACACAAGGCATACCTCAGATACCTCTTGACAAATATTCTCGTCCCCAGGGACTATGAAACAGACTTCAGCAAATATTCCCGCAACATAGACATGTCCTACTTCGCCCCGTCTCTCGGTGTTGGTGCTGGCGTTGAGTCCAACATCATCTACGTCCCTGGGTCCTTTGTGCCTCGCTCCGTTGACTTCAACTTCACTGCTGCCTTAGAGGGAATCTCGATGAACATAGGCGAGGTTGGTGCCCGACTTGAGGGTCTAGAACCTGTCATCGAGGAGGTGTTTGGACCTGAAGGTTACCTGCAGAAAGCTACCCTCAGCAATATTTTTCAAGACATTAATACATTTTTTGAAAAGGAAAGCAAAACTATTGTTGATGTGGTCCAAAATGCGATGAGACAAAAAAGATCAAATGATAATTCTTTGTTGACCGATTTATTCAGTAAATTCTATTGTTGTGGCAGATCTGATACTCCTCGGGCTGATATATTTGCTCGTCTTATGGGTCAAGAAATAAGTTTTATCTCCCTACCTCTAGGAAATGTGGATGAACTGGTCATCTCGTACATTAGTGATATTCTTCACCAAATAAAAAATTTTAATATAAATTTGTTAAGAGCAGTTCAGTTGTACATTGACTACTCCTTCCCCACTATCCAAGGCACCCCACTCAAGCTGAAGCTGGAAGGAACAGCTGTTGTCAAATTTCAGATGGAAGGGAATGTGAACCCCATTACTCTTTTTACTAACTGGAGAGATGAACAAAATATCAAGATCATTCCTAGTCTTTCTGTCCAAGTAGATGGCTTCGTCGGCTACGACAGCTATATCGCTAGAACAGGAATCAAGACGACCAACACCATCTCCAGCACCAACGGTGTTTCCCTCACTCTTAGGGCCAAGAACAGTGAAGAGTTGGAGGTTGAACTGGATCTCCCTGAGAAGATGGAACTTATTAATGTGAAGAGTGAGACTTACCTCATGAAGAGCGTGAGGGGCAGCCCAGACACCAAGATCATTCCACCATCCATGAGGGACGTCAGAGTCAGAAGTGAGTCGTGTGTTAACAATCTCGAGCCAATGTTAGGTCTCAGGCTCTGTGATGATCTGGACGTCCCCGATATCTTCCGCAGTAACTCCTTGCCACTGGGAGCCCCAGCTGTTATCAAACTTTACTTTGAGAAGGCAGAGTCTTCCATTAGAGGTTATAAAATTATTGCATATATGGATAATCAGCCAAACGACAAAATACTTTCACTGAAAGTAGAAACTATCGGATCCACTACACCAAGAGAGACTCAAGCGACAGTGACCTACACCAAGCTGGGGGAAAAATACTTAATGTCTGCAACACTTAAATCTTATAACATCAGCGGAGAAGTCTGGTTCAGCGTCACCAACAGGTGGGACTATAAGGACGTCCAAAGTTATGCAAGTTTTAAGACAGATACTATAACACTTTCTCGAGGAATCAAAGTGGAACTCAGTACCAGCTCAACATCGAATGATAAAGAGTATGACGTTAATGTGTACAGCAGCAACAACGTGGATATTACTGTTGAATCACTAATCCTGGAAACCAAGTTTATTAAGAAAGTTGATCGTACTGAAATTTCTCTAGATGTTCTCTGTAGGACAAGAAATACTTTGAGAAATTATTTTTTCCTGCTTTTTGAAGGTACTTGTCGATGACTTACAATATTATAATCTACATGAAAAGGTGAGATACAACATTGCATTCTTAAACTAAAATTTTAGAGTTAAAATATTTGAATACCCTTCAGTATAGTTAGATGATTTTCTATAAAGAGACTAATAATGTAATTACTTAAAAACACAGCTGGGCTAGACCTGAGGTACACCCAGTACTCCCGGCTGCCTCTACCAACGAATCTACGCAAGTTTGAGTTCCAGAGTGGCATGAGAGGCTGGCAAGTTACCTCCTTTATCCGTCAGACAAGAGAGTCAGGCGAGATGGCTGAACACTTAGCTCTCTTCAAGTTAACGCATAACAACCAAGATTTGATTTCTGTTGAGGCCAAACAGTCCATCCAAGGAGGAATTCACCAGACCTTTGTCGTCAAAGCTGCAGCTGTAGGTAAGTTATTGGTATACAAAAATCTTAATAGTGTTTATGTCTTCAATATAAAACCAAATTACTTTTCCATGATCTCAAGAATTTTAAGTGTAGGAGGAAGGGTCTCATGCTCAAAAGTAAATTTATTTAGCGGTATTTCACAATGGCGACCATAAAGAAGAAACACAAAGTGAGCTTAAATTACTTATTACTTACTAATGACAAAGAGTAAATGACTAATCACAAGTTGTACAAAACACAAACTCCTGCTGGTTTGCTCAGAACATATAGACTATGATCCTGACCTGAATGAGTAAAGAACCGGAAAAATCTTTGTTCCATTTTCGGCTCACTTGACCATCGAGAGAAAAGACAAAGTGATTAAAACGACTCAAGTATCACCTCATCCATGGATTCCTTCCTGTGCTCGATCTCCATAAAAACAACATATCCGTCTCCCACACATGCACTGAAATCTCACTCTTCACTGCTCGGTCTCATTGTCTCATCCTCCCATAAGTGAGGTCCTTCTTCTGTGCTGACCTCCTGAACTGTTCCCTCTTCTTCCTCCACCTATCTGTGTCCATCACCATTGTCCTCCTCGGTCCATCACATTTGTCCTTCAGTGTACATCACAGCCAGTCCTCCTAACACAATCCACCCAACTCAATCTACCCTCCCCCCCCCCTCCGTCTGCATTCTCCCAACCGCCCTGTCAAATTCCTCTTCACTCCAACTTCCCTTCGTAACTAATCAAATTTTCTTCCACCCCCCTTTCACACCTGCAATCCTTCTCGTCCAGTTGTCTTCACAAACCTGCTGCTGATGAGGTCGTGTCTCCGAACCCTAAAGGTGGACGGGAGTCACACCTTCCCCTTCAGTTTCTTTCTGACCTTCCTCTCATCCCTCACAACTCCTGTCACCCTCTTCCATGTCATAACTCCAGCTTGTTAACCAATGCTTTGTACCATCATCTTCTTTTATGTTTAGATCAAAGAACGACGCTAACCTCTGAAATAGACCTTGGAGAGGTTAACAGGAAGAATGGGATATGGCTTGTCAAACAGCGAACTTCTTTTCCCAAACAAAGCCAGAAATAAAATAACAAAAAGAAATGTTGTATACAAGTTTGGAAACGAATAACCTGACTTTCTGACTCACAAATGAGATTGGCACATACTTAATATGCCTTTATTAAGATTCAGGAATACTCTATGTCCTTCTTTTTTATATCCATGAGTATACTATGCACCTCTTCTTTATTTAGCGTAACTTTCAGTAAAACTGGGCAGCAGAGAATATAAAGCTGCCTCCATAATACAAAACGAAGTCACCAAAGTGGGAGCGTCGCTACAGGTGACTCACGCCAGAGACCGGGTGAAGCTGGTGGACCTGGAGGCATTCTACACGAACACTGGGAGGCCTTACTCCATTATGTTCTTGGTAAGTCCCTTACACGATGTGAGAATAGTGATGTTTTACCACATAAATATATATTGATTCGCATGGTTCTTTCTCTGTTACCTTATTATGTTCTTTTCCTTTCCCTCTCTACTGTGGATTCAATTATGATTGTTCTATTGTTTTTGCAGCTGGACATCCCGAAGTGCATGCAAGCTCTCAAGTTTGAGATCAGCGTCACGCCAGAGCAGGAGAACAACCTCTTGGCTGAAGTACAATTAAAGTACGGGAACCAATTGATTTTGCAGTTAACTGGACCAGTCACATGCGTGATCTCTATAACCTTGATCGAGCTAAAGACTGACCTTATATTTACCACAGTGGGCAGTAGACCTCATAAGCTGTCTTCCGTCATCATCATCGCCAACAACACACAAGAGTTATCCTTTAGCCTCAAAACACAGCAGCAAACGCTAATCTCTCTTGAGTGGACTACGACGGCGGTCAGCCTACATCAAACTGTATCATCATTAAAGTTCCTCCTCCCTGATTTTATCGATTTCCAGAGTGATATTATACTGAGCCAAACATTCACGTACGTCAGTTTTAACAGCCTTCTGTTACCGAGAAGTTATCACCCTCATAGAGTGAAAGGGTTCACTCACTTCGATTTGTTTCATCACAAATTGAATCTGGACGTCTTGTGGGACGCGGACCTTGAAGCCAGCAAGAGAGTCAGTGTGGACGTCATCGCCAGTACCAGTCCAGCCCACCCAGGACGACTATCCATACAGTAGGTGAACACTAGTCGGGGAAAATATAACGTTCATATAAACAGTATAAAGGTTACAGCAGTTTCTTGCAAAAGAAAAATGTTTGAAGATTTATAATTTGCAACCCTGATGCATCATCATCATCAACTTCATTAAAAATGCAGTACAATATATCTTCGCTTTACCAGTTACCTTGGTTTCTGTTTTTTATAATTCAAAATTCTGACTAAACGAATCTGTATAATATTCAGATTGAGATTATGACCTCAAAGGGTTACTATACAAAAGAGTTACTTACAAATCCTGATGACACAGTCATCACTGGTTCACAAGTCTCATACTCTCCCGTACTGTCCTTCAGGGGAAATGTTAAGTACGAGAGGAAGACTTACCAAGTGGTCTTGATTGTCACAATGGCAGACCTGCTCAACCACCATTTTGAAGAGAATAGTTTCACCCTGAAAGTACAGACGCCCGCCAAGAAGACCTTATCCTTGGAGGTTAAGAACACATTTGAGAAGCATTCTACCTCAGGCACGATGGACACTCGCCTTCACTACAAGAATCTGCATAACAAGGAGTACAAATTAACAAGTATCTTGTACCTGGAGAAGCTTGACGGGTCATTCAGCTACAAGTTTGAGTCACAGTTAAGTTTCACATCACCTGAAGGTCGGGAGATAACTGTGACCACAGAGGCAAAACACCAGAGTACAGCCGAGGAGCGAGTCTTTTACCTGAAGGTAAAGCTGTGGTCTGTCAATAACTTATGTAAGCACTCCGTCTTCCTTTAATGCATTTCTTTAGTTTATCCTCTTCGCCGGTTTTATTATTGTGTAGAAGACGATCAACTTGGGAAGCGAATAAAAACGTGTTCCATATGGTTGTTGAAATTTTATAATTTTATTTTTATTTGATAATAACTTGAATTTTATGCACTTTTTAGCTAAAACAAATTATGTCCTTTCAGGGAAGTGCCACGGTTCCCACGAGGAAGCACCTGGAGACAGAGCTTCTCTCTAACAACACAGAAAACGTGTACAACCTTGGATGGACTGAGACAACAAATACTCCATCAACTATGTATAACGTGGGGCTGATGACGTACACGACAGGAGGCATAAAATCCTTTGAGACAACTCTAAATATGACAGCCATACAGAAGTTTTTTCACGCTGTACATGTGTTGATACAATTAGAAACAGGTTATTATTATGACGAGTTTTGTGATGCAGACAACAGAGTCGTTTATCTATACCAGTATTTCTACCACCAACCCACCCCGAACACCTACTCCATGATCCTCAAGACACCATCCCGGCACACTGAAGGTGAAGCTATATACTCTCCCTCAGAGGCAAGTGTCAAGGTATATCCCAACAAGAGAGAGAGTAACACCAAATACGAGTTAACTGGAAGGTCCTCCCACACGTACTGGGATCAAGAGTCCAAGTATGAAGGCCATATTAGCCACCCAAGTCTGACCAGGGACATGCGAGTAGAGGTTCAGTACTCGGTCACTGGAGAGAACATGAGAGGCACCATTGAGCTGGACATCTTCCCTGACACAGCTGACAAAATAACAGGCACTCTACAGTCAACCTTGGTCGCCAACAACACCGTTAGGGTGGAAACTCTACTTGCTACCAGAGTAAGCTAACGTTGTGTATTGTTTGGTATAAATGGTTTACAGTGATTTAGTGCATATATAACTTCTGATGTGACAGGTTGTTTTATGTTTTTTGTCTCTTCTTTTCCTATTTGTTGATGACCTTTATATAATTGCAGATATTGAAATATAATCCTAAAATCATCTTGGTTGTTGCCAATGGCCCACACACTGTCGGCTTTGACGCCAGTTTCCAGCGGAATGCCACTTCACCAGTATCCTTTCAAGTATCGGCCAAATACGACCGAATCTTTGGTGGAGATACAACGGTAGCTTTCCGCGTGGTGACCGAGGAAGGCCCCGTGGTGGACATAGCTGGAGTGATGAAGCCCGAGCAAGTTCCTGTGTGTACCGGCGTCAAGATCAAGGCCGTGGCTCTCACTTCTGTCCTCGGTACTTATGACATTATCTTTAGAATAGGTAAACCAGCCTTCGTTGAGCTCACCACCAGAAAACACAACAGCGAAAAAGTCTACACTACTAAGTTCGACTTCCAAACACCCAAGAATACAGAGATCTCCATGCATGTATATGACAAAGGTACACAAGAACAACAAGCGATCATTATGGCACGTGTTAGGCCCTTCTCTCCTGGAATGGCTGAGGTTGACCTTGTGTACAGGAGAGAAGAAATTGGCAGGTTAGAGGTAAATATCCTGTGCGCTCTTCTGTACCATCCTTACTTAAGTCTCCAAGTAATAATCACTTTAAATGCCATAAACAAACAATTTAATCGAGTCTAGTACATTGGTGATGAAGCAGTTTATGGATTTACAAATTCTTCATCAATGTTTATATGAACCAATTCCAGCGTTTTCCGTACTTGTTCAGCTGACGGCAGAGTCTTTTATGTTAGTGTTAAGTTCTAGTACAGTACTGCTGAAGTACCAGTCAATGGCATGTAACTGTCTTGTTTATTATTGAGGCTTCTAAACTGTTACACACAAGGATAATAGCCTGATCTACTACATTTTGCTTACCCGTACGAATGGTCCATCAGGTTGTTCTGTCCGAGGCCATAGACCGTGTCTTGGTGTCGTCAGTATCGTGGTGTAAACGGGTGTACGAGCAGGTGGTGCAGGAGGCCCACCAGAAGAATATTACATTCCCGCCAAAAGAGATGAACAAACTTGTGGAGCAGGTCTTGGTGGATGTTCGGATGATATATCGCGACCTGAATGTTGACGTATTTACCCCCGCGTCTGAAGCACTCTGTCGCATCGTGGAGAGTCGTGCAGTCTCCTACACGCTCGAGGTGAGTCACCACGCCTGGCTCCTGCTGCGCTGGATACAACAACAACTCCCCAAGCAAGAGGTCAGGCCCTACCAGGAACATATAAACTTGAAGGAAGAAATTGAGGACCTTAACTGGCTTATCAAGGACGGTTAGTAAGGTATAGAATTTAGTGCCAAAAAATAGAATCATGTTACAAAGAGAAGTATCTAATTTTTCTTTTCTTTGTGTGATAATTAACAAGGTAGGCTGGAACGAGAACATTAACCGAGTTTATCAAACGGTAGATGCAATTTCTGGATTTAATTATCCAAAGATATTCACACGTACGGAAAGCCCGTTATAAAAGTAATACTTAATGACAGAATAATAGCTGTACAGACAGATAAACAATGAAGCAGGTTTCCTCCCACTGGCTCAGGTAACCCCCCCCCTGATTGGCTACAGCGCTCGCTTGTTGTCTTATGGGTCGGTGGTTCAGACCTGAAAATAGTGCCTTGTGTACTAATTAAAAGACCCAGTCTGCATTGTACTTTATCAGCACTGTTCATAATGTCCCGATAGACCTATGGGATTCACATCTACTTTTCACCTCTACAACATACATTTGTCTCCCCCCCATCTACAGATTTTCTTATTAGTTGACTTTGTTCTTATTGTTCTTCGTTCTTCCAGACGTGTGATGGAAGCACTGAACTTTCATACACGCTTCTTGTGTCTTCCACTTCATCCTTCGTATGGTGTGGCAAGTCTCTGGGCGAAAAAAAAATTTGCAATTTCATTTTAAATTATCTTCTTTCACTTGATACACATGTCCTGAGTGTCAATGAATTCGTCGACAGTTGCTGCGAAGGTTATCCACGCGATAGCGAGCGGCGACCTGCGTGGCACAGTGCATCGCCTGCTGGAACAACTGGAACAAACCAGTATCTTCAGGATGGTGAAGAGAGAAGTGGATGCCCTGATGCAGCAGTACCCAGTGGAGTACGAGGCCATCAAGGAGGTGATGGCCAAGGTCGGAGGCGTCCTCTTGTCTGATCTGGATACACTGAGGCATGACCCAGTTACCCTCCTGACAGCCATCTTAATCTTCGGGAATGTCGATGAAGTAAGTCAGATTTAAATTCAGATTCAAAAACATCAGAGAATCGTGTCAAGGTCTAATTCAGAACATGAATTCTAAATATTAGTATAAGTAAAGATTCGGGTATTACTGTAAGAGTGTAAAGGGACATGGTGATTGTAATAAGGATGATGCCTTACTTTAGACGTGATTAAATCCTCGGAGATTCGACTGATAAGTGTGTAGAGAGAGTATGACTCCAAACATTTGGTGAACAGATTGACTGGTTGATTTACGGATTTTAGGTTCCAAACCAAGCACTGGAGCCAATGGGCCATTCAGCGCTGTATGGTAATTTGAGGATATGCCTTATATAAAAACGGCCACATCCTTTTACATGTGGTGAATACTTCTATAATAATATTAAATACTTTAAAAACATGTTTGTAACCTCTCACTCTCTCTCTCTGAATCATTTCAACTTTACTTTCGAGATAAAAATTTGCTATGACAAAATTATTTGTATTTTGACAATTAATCACAAATTTTAAAATCGAATATAATTGTCTTTAAGTAAGCACAATTTGGACAAATATAACCTTGTTTTTTTGTGGAATGTGGCGTGATTCAAAATAGGACAGATTAAAATCTAAAATGCAAGAATTCTTGTTAGTAATATAATCAACCGTGAACACTATGTATTTCTCCGTGTATAACCTATTTCTTCTCCAGCTGATGCAAAAGGTGAAGCTTAACGCTATAACGATGCTGTACGACATCCTGTGGGCCTATGACTCCCACACCACCTTACCTTTTAACAACGTCATGTGGATCATCTACACACTCCAACCACCCAGAGTCACAGACCTCCTGCCGCCTCATACCCGCACAGCCATGGTAGTGGGTGATACAGAGATCCTCACCTTCGACAATGCCAAACTACGAGCACCCATATCACCGTGTAAGGTGGTGCTGGCTGCCTACGCCTCCAACAAGCTTACCATGGCCCATCCACAACCCTCAGCCCCACCACAGATCACCTTATCTACTCGCACAACTACCGTCACCATTAAGCCGGACTTCCGTGTTGATGTCAACGGACGGGAAATTGGCACGTCAGATGTCACTATTGGTGAATTAACTATTGAACAATCAAACCTTCAGGTCAAACTGATCTCACCCTTCATGATCGTCCGGGTGGCCACAAAAGAGCGAGTGGTATCTCTGGAGGTGTCCGGCTGGACGTTTGGTCGTCTGGCGGGTCTCCTGGGTACTTATGATGGTGAATCTGGAAATGACTGGACCATGCCCACTGGTATACAGGCTTCCACCCTACAAGAGTTGGTGACGTCATGGCAGGAGGACCAGCAATGCCACGCCCCTGACGTCTCCCTTGTGAGCCCCGCCCAGGTCACAACAGAGAGACTCTTCCACTGCTATCCACTCCTTGGAGTTTGGTCTAGGTGTAACTCATTAGTTCGGCCTGAGCCCTTCATCCACCTGTGCTATACGACCACCGACCCTTGCTACGCCGCCCAGGCCTACCGTACAATGTGCACTACAAAAGGTATTGGACCACTCGTGCCCAGAGGATGTTAAATGTATAAAATTACTTGAATTTTATTCACCCATAAAATTATTAGTTACTATAAAAATAAACATTAATACAATCATAACACAACACAATCGATTAAACACCACAAGTTATTGTTGCTGCCCATAGGTAAAGGAGGCAGGAGATGTGGTAATCAGCAGTTAACACTAATTCTAAACAGTATCCCTAAAGGAGTAGCTTACACTAATTAATGAGACAACTTTTAAAAGGGAAGCTCTGCAGCCATTTCAATGTTCACGAATATACAATAATTTTTAAACAAGCCTCGATGTTGCTGTTCCCGAGTATTACTTGCCGCCGTCAATGAACACAAAGCTTTATGAAATAACCAACATTTTCACTACGATACGATAATAATAAATGTATCTATCTATCCATCTATCCATCGATCTACTATATGTATGGTAATAGTACAGGGGCGGATCCAGGGGGTCATGATCCTCCCTTTCATGGGAAAATTCCAATACCTTTTCATTAATGCATGTTACCCCACCCACAACTTCTTGGATCCCCCCCCCCATCCCCCTTTTGATATCCCTGGATCCGCCCCTGTAGTATAAAATAGAAATTCGTCGGTGGCATTCATTATCATAGTCTCCCTCTTAACTTGACCATTTTCTTTGTACGCTGACATAATGAGAGGGTGTGTGCACTGAGTCTATTTTGGGGGGTAAGACTAAACTATTAAATACAAAGAATAATATCCGGTAAAATCATCATACAAGTTTACATTTACTCAGTACAGGTATACAATGTGCATCAACAGTGTGGGTAAACTAGCAACGGTAAACTAAGAAGGATTTAACAACCAGCACCACGACTACCTGCACCACCACCATTACCTGCACCATATTACCACCAACCTGCACTTCCACCACCACCTGTACTATCACCACCTCCTGCACCACTACCACCATCAATTGCACCATTATCACTACCTGCATCATCACCGCCAATACATCACCATCACCTGCACCATTACCACCACCTACACCATCACTTGCACCATTATCACTACCGACACCATCAGCATCACCACCACATGCACCACCACTACTACTACAATTACCACCACTTACATCATCACCACCTACACTACTACTACCACCACCACATACAGCCCTACCACCAACACCTGCACCAATACCACCACCACCTACACCACTACCACCACCACCTACACCACTACTACCACCACCACCTCTATAACCTCCTGCACCATTACTACTGCCATCCTATACTACTACTACCACCACCTGCGCCACTGCCACCACCTACACTACCACCATGACCATCTGTACAACCACTATCACCAGTATCACTACTACCATCACAACCACCACCTGCTCCACCACCATTCTTTGCTTCCAGTGACATTTACCCTTGAGTAATATAACACTGTACACCGGGGGTCAAGTCCTATTACTCAACGTGTTAAAAGAGCTCGCACGTGACAAGTTGCTGCTCCGGGATTTCACCTTAATTAGTTACCTTGACTTTTGTGAATATTTTCTTAATAATAAAAAGATAAATCAGAAAACAGTTATTTGTTTTTTTTCTTATTATTATTCCGATTGTTGATCATGAAAACAAACACGAAAATATCCTTAGTTTTCACGCTATTGTTTATTGTTTTAACATACACCGGAAATTTATCATTCTATGTGAAATTAGTGAAAGCGCTTTGGGAACTTCGTGTTTTTTTTTTATTTTTTCTTGTGTGGTTATCAGCATATACTGCACATGGATCACACACACACACACACACACACACACACACACACACACACACACACTATATGGTAATGGTGGTGGTGATGGGGGTTGGTTTAGTATAGGTGGTGATACAGTTAATGGTGCAGGTGGTGATGGTGCAGGTGTGTGGAAGGTTAGTGTGGGCATCTGTGGCCTAATACAACCTCTCTACCACCTCACACCACATGACCTGTCTTGTAGCTTTTATTATCAGCAACCCGCATACAGTGTGTGTGTGTGTGTCGAAAGAACATTTTTATCTTATAAAAGAGATAGAGAGAGAGAGGAGAGAGGTAATAAAGAAAAGATCGAAGGGAAAAAAGAGAGAAAGTACAACATGAAGATTGACTTAAATGCGCCTGTGAAATCTCTCGGTCGTTCTAATAATGATCACAATAACGACCAAGAGACATCTACGACCACTAATGCCATTTGAAAGGTCATATAAGCTGGTCGTTGCCTCAAGTCGTCCTTCATGATGATATAGAACAGTGAGTCTCTTCATGCGTGCTTCCAGGTGAAGGCAGGCGGGTGTTATGACGAGCTAATGTAATGACACAATGTGACGTTTGGCCTTTCCTCCGTGTGTATTGGATGTCTGCCGCCGCCGCCGACGCTACCGCTGACGGTGTTATTGTCGTTATTGTTGAAGTTATTGTTACTGTTATTAATGATTCTATTATTGTTTTTGTTTATGCTGTTGATGGTTGCTGGTGTTGTTAACTTTCTTCTTGTTTGTGTTGTTGTTGTTGTTGTTGTTATTGCTTCTGCTAGTGATATTTACTTGTGCTGCTGCTCCTCTCTACCTTTGATGCTCCTGAGGCTAATACTGATGCTCCAGAATCCAAGTGAGTGAGGATCGAGGTGTTCATGTAGCCCTGACAAAGTCCTCAGCCCTTCGATCGCATTGCTGGTGGCACTTGCACTGAGCCAAATAGCAAAAGGTGAAACAACCACGACGTACAAAAACCTGTGGCACGACGGGAGAAGGTCCGTCGGCAGGTCCCCAACCTACGCCACTCTACTGTGTACCTCTGCTAGTGGGACACGACGCGTAACATCACCTGTCTGAGGGGGGGGGGGGGCACCATACATACATACATACATACATACATACATACATACATACATACATACATACACACATGCAAAAAATATATATACACAGAACCATAAACCTGCAGAACACACAAACCCACGAGTATACAACACACAAACACACACACACACATATTTACACCAAGGAATCACCATTACATATTCCTAACTATATATGTAGAAATATATAAATCACTGTATGCATCTCCCTATGTATGTATGTATGTATGTATGTCAACCGGGATACATCGTCATCTTACACTGCCAAAAGCATGAGTACACACAGAAACACCTGGTGATGTGTACAAAGAAATCAAGCAGGTGTGGAGGGTTAAGTAACATATGTGTAGAGAGCTAGAGAACACATGCAAAGGGCAAAGTAGACCGGTGATCCTTGTACTCAGTAGATTAAATCATTGTACTCGAGGAATTAAGTCATTGTACTCAAGGAGGTAAATCAACGTATTGAAGAAGACATATTAATCAGTCTGGTTTCGTTAGTTAGATTAAGTTAGGTTAGCGTGGTTAATATTAGTGAAATAAGCAGGTCAATATAGGCAAGTGTGTCAAGGTGAGGGAGTAAAGACGTGTTATTGTGTGTTAAAAGTGAACTTCGGGAGGTGTAGTAACGCAGCTCCTCCTCCTGTCCACTTTCTCCTCTCGCTTCCTTCGTGAGACAGCATCACCAAAAATACTTAAATAACTATCCCCTTTGTGCTCATATAGGGGCCACAATAGTCTGCTGTACGATAAAAAGGAAAATCACGGTCGCGGTATATCATTTACTGTATTCTCTAGGGCAGCGGCTCTAAAACACGGGGTCACAAGATGCATCATAAGGGATCGCATAGAGCATGAGGTCGCATAGAGCCCATAGGGTCACTGGAGTCACCTGGAGTTACATGTGATTTTTTTTTCTAAGTCCAGATGTTAAGGACTGAAGGACGTGGCCGACAGGTGCCGTCTCGTTAAGTCAAGACCATAAATCGTGGTCAAGGGATTAACGCAGTTACTCTCCGTTTGTCAGGTCGGTTTAGTCCAGGTCAGGCTTGTCCTGATGACATATTTCGCAACAGGAGTTCCACACTCCTACCTTTGAAGCCTACCTAGTACAGTACGGCAAGTAAAAAGAACAACTACCTTTCCTTGTTTGAATGTGAGCGTGTTCGGTGCTGGTAGAAGGTAGAGAGATTTTTTTTTTTTTATTATTTATTGGGCACTCCCCTACATCCTTGTGTAAGGTGAAGCGCAGAAGCGTTTACAGCGCCCAACAGGGAAGCATGCTAAGTTCATGCTTGCCTTTATGTCTCACGAGTTAAGGGCGTAGAAGCCTGAAGAGTCAAGGGTAGAAGCCTAAAGAGTCAGTGGTTTTATGTCATGAAGTTATTGGAAGCTCCAACAACTTTCCCTGAATACGAATTCGCAATTTTCGATTTACACCAGGTACCTACTTTACTGCTAGGTGAACAGGGACTAATGGGGGCAAGGAAGTAAGTCCAAACAACTTCCACCGGCCCGGGAATCGAACCCGTGACATCTCGCTTGCGAGGCAAGAACGGTACCGCATCTATCACCGATCCCCCGAAGTTAGAGAGATGGTTTCCGGCCTTGATTCTTCCATTTGACCAATTGACTGAGGAATTATCATCCCTACACTATTTAACATTCTATATTTTATCTGTACATATTTTCTTCCTAGAATAAAATCTGTCTGGACATAGACCCTAGTAGTTTTCTTTGAGCCCAACGATAAGTGCCTCTTTATGTCTGTACAGTACTATATATTCCTTCCTTATGAGATTCATGGATTCTTCCCTACGGTGTTCGTGTTGCTTGCAGGGATCACAACAAGTGTTAGCATGTGAGACTAACACATTTAATTTTTATTACATCACAATCAAATTTTACTGGCAGAGTAAAATTCTTATCTGCCATACTTCAGTATTCAGAACATCGGTGAAATTTTTATGTCTATCGCACATTTAGATTAAGTTAGTCAAACAAATACCGGTACTTCTAACAATACCCTTAGTTACGGGTATCAGTGGCCATATCGGTTTATCGAGCAACTAACGTGTTAATGATTGTGTAATCTTGTTTACATAATCCGCAAAAAATTACATAACATAGATACTCCCACTCAT